AAGGTCAGGCACTGTGATTGCAAATGCAGGAGAGTGACCTGGAGAAATCACACTCTGCTTTAATAGAATTTCAGTGTCATTTAAACTGACTCTGAGGTCACTTCACCTGAAGGCATGGACGGATCCTTGTAGTCACTCAGCAGAGTTCAATATGAGGTGTGCTGTCAGAAAGGTTTCAGAGTGACTATTTGGATTTCATACAAGCGGTTTCATAAAGTTTCAAGAAGACAAGAATTCCACCAGAAGATAATAAATTATTTTGACTAGCTAAATTACACCATGAGCCATTGTTGTAAATGTACCACATTTAGTTTTATAGTGTTTTTTTTATGATGACAAAAAATGGTGGCACCTTTCTAACACTGATGACATTTATCAGGAACTATCAATTCCACTGAATTCCTAGATCATTGTGCATTTCCTTCCCTTAAGATAGACTATCAGTGAATGTCCAAAATGTTTCAGTTTGCTAGAGGCCAGGTGCAGATAAGGCTGCGGTTGTACTGGCACTGTCTCCAGAGGAGGCCGGACAAGGGAGAAGATACACAAGACAGCGTGCAGCAGTAATTACGACACACTGTTGGTCACAGGGGTGAAGGACAGAATACATCTGTTTCTCACCGTGTTTCTTCTATCTGATGTGTTCTCTGATCTCACCTGATAGCAGAGGTGACAACTAATCGCATGATAATTTAGAAGGCAGCTGGTGCATGCAAAGAATAACTGAAATAATGTTTGCTGTGGTATTGTTCTTTAAGCATGTTTCATCAATACTTTACATTAAATCTACAAAATAGATTTTCACAAATATTAAATTCATCAAATACACTCAACGGCCACTTTATTAGGTACACCTGTACAATTGTATACACTTCAATGCAACACTTCCACCTTAAAATCTGTGTTTATGAAGCTGGACTGGACTAGATTATATTCAGATGTGTCTTTATATTTTTGTCCTTCCCAGCTACATAAATGAGAAGGTCAAAATATTAAGAACACCTCTGTATATGATGTAGTCTAGTACAACACCACCTTTAACTATGTCCTCAATAATAAACATATGATTGAATTTATACATTAATGACAATTTCACCAAAAACTGAAACACTTTGAGCTTCATAAACCCAAATGTTACAGCAGGAAGTGGTACGTTCAGCGCACACAAATGTGCAGGTGTATCTACTAAGGTGGCTGGTGAGTGTATCATGTCATCTTAAGATGTATCTTAAAGTTGTTTTCTTGTGCCTGCACTGGTGAGTGTATCATGTCATCATCATATCTTAAAGTTGTTTTCTTGTGCCTGCATGCTTTCCCCCTTCAGGCTTACTGGCGAAGCCACTGGGAGTTGTTGCGGTTATGTGTGGGATATCAGGGAGGTGTGAGACAGTCAGAGCACAGACTATAAGCCCCATTTTTCTGAGGGTGTCAGTGCCTTGATAAGTCCTGTTTAAACAAAATGGCAAAATGCCATATGTCAACACTTACCCGTGGCCAAAGTGCTTTGACTTGGTTCGGCAAACACCTGGGGTAGCCCATCCACCCACATGAGGCCTCTGACACTAGGTGAAGGTACAGTTCTACAACCAAATTGACTTGTGTTTGAGGCAGATACCTTTATGAATTAACAAACAAATGGAGAAACTAATGTTGAAAGGAGATGGAAGGAAAGTTCAGATGGTTCACCGAAAGCATTTTTTCAGCTCTTCCTGTTGCAGCACTCTGCCGTGTCTACGGCAGTTGGCACTAGTTGCAGAAAGTCTCAGACAGGTGTAATGTTGGTTGTGAGTGTCTGAAGCCACATGTGCCTCCTCTACCTGTGCCAAACTATTTATCGCCCAGTAAAGTCTTTTAATTCTTAACGGATCTTGCAGCAGATAGTGCTGATGCGTGTAAAGAATTTGCAAGCTATCAGTCTCAAACTGTAGGTCTCCACTCTCCACATACAGTAGCTTACTGATAGGCTCCCATAATGTGATATTTTAACTAGCTATTTGGTCAAATCCTAAAAATCCTTAGCACAGATCATTTAAATCTTTTCTTTAATTAAAAAGAAGACATAAAATGTGCTGTATTCTTGATTTGATTAAATTGTTTTGACAAACACTTCAAAGGGAACAATGCAAAGCTTCATACACCTACTGTACAAACACATCCACACATATACAACACAACGTTTTAAAAAGAGGGGTGTTCTGCTCAAACATCTGCAGTGGAATCTGAGAGTGCAAGGAGAGATGGAAGACATGATTTGGCAGCTTACCCCCAGTGTTTGCCTCAAAGTTTTTACGCCATGACTCGAAGTCAAACTGAGAAGTTTCCCAAGACCTGTTCATCCCTCAGGAGGGTGTTCCGTGTAAACAGTGAGCCTCGCCCCTGAGGATCTGTGCCCCCCCCCACCCCTCCCTTGATCAAGCTTAAGTCAGTCTGTAGGGCACCTCAAACCCACTGCAGTCAGCAATGCGGGGGTGCGAACATGCTGATATCTCAGTGTTAGCCATCACTGGGTTTCCGCTTCTGCATGCTGCGACCAATCAGCTCTCAGACCGAAAACTCTCAAATGGCAGCAGCTCTCGTCACATCTCCCACAACACACCACATCTATTTAAAAACTGAATATTAAATCAAACATTTACCTTGTTAGGAGTCTGTAGTATGTTGTTTGGTACTCCCAGAATAATGCTAACCAAGTATAAGAGTATCACTTGGTAACTGTTACACTTCACTGAAGAAAATGGCTCAAGGTTTTTTCTGCCTAAGAATCAGGTTACTTTGGAGTGTTATAAAATCTACACACTTACAACTATCAAATGGAACAAAACCAGCTTACATCCCCTAGGTTTTCCTATCCAAACTGGTTTGGAAGAACAGAATTCCTAAATTGTACAGTATGTTTAGTTGTATGCAAGAGAGCTGACAAAGCAGTCTGCCACAACCTCCAGTCAACCACTGAGACAAAGAGCAGAAACAGCAGGTACTGTACATCTGACAGCCATATTAGGTTATTTAGCTATTAAAACAAAGATGTCAATGTCAGTATAGCCCGCTACCTCAGCAAAATGTTTAATTTTAGCAGTGAAAGGCACTGCTTGTGACAAAGACAACTACTGGACACATTATACAACAGCTCCTTTGATAAGATGTGACTTATGTAAACAACATATTTCACCATATATAAAATAATGTACAAAACCAGTACACAATCTATATAAGTGTTGGGCATTATTTTAAATATTCTCCAGTCCATTTTCACAATCTTCATCTAAGCTGCTGACTATATCAGCTTGTTTTTAACAATTATTCTGTGATTGCTAAACATAATAATCGATATGGATTTCACCTGATTTCAACTTATTAGTGGTCTGCTTCATGTAATGTGAAGGTTTGACAATTACCTTGTAGTATTAAGCAATGCTTTAAGAGTATTTCTTTGCATTTTTTGATTTTTCATTTTGTCATATATGTTTGTCAATAAAACAATAAAATTTCTTCTTTAAAAATGCTAAGAGTTGTGATGCAAATAATAGAATTTCAGTCTTTTCATGGTTATAGTCTATGTGGACTCATAACTTTAAGTCAGAATTGGTTTCTAAAATTGAATGCATGCATTATAGTGGTGAAACTCTCAACAAAGTGCTCTTTGTCCAACATAAACAAAAGTGTTGGAGCAAATCCAGCAAAGTAGATTTAAGTCCTGTGACACATTTGTTTCGTTCCGGTTTTCATGAATGTATAATTAAAGTGGTTTGGCTTCAATGATAAAATGCAATTTTTATCAATTGTATTATGTACAATTTCTATTTTTAAGCAGGCATTATTTTAAAATGATCTATTTACAAATTTGATATAGGTAGGGACATTTAATTTGTCTGGACCAACTACTCTGTCGGAGAGAGGAAGGCCTGGAATGTAAATGTAGAGCAGGAACCTAAACTCTTTATATATATTTTGTCATACCTGCTCACTTTGTTTCAGTCACTGCAGCCCTGCAAACAGTTGCAAGGCTTCCCCTCAAGTTTCTGGACTGCTGTCTCCCCCTATTGGCTCATGTGGTCACTGTGCAGAGAGGAGAGGCAACTGAGATCTGCTGTTTCGCTTCACACAGCTTCACACAGGCACACACTGACTAAAACTGTCTCTATGCAGCAAACATTTGAACACTGATATTACTAGTGAGATAAAACTATACTGTCCTTAAATATTTTCTCAGATCACAGACAGACAATCTGTATAATCAGCATTACAATACGTCCAGTTTTCAACAGAACAAAATACTTTATTGTAGTTTATTTTAATTTTATAGAAATGATATGATCTTTTGCATATTTATACAATTTGCCCCCCGTTTTTAACTCTCAATTCCCTTGTAATTTAAAATAAACGTATCTTTGTTTTTAATTTTCTTCTGAGTACATTAGCCAGCTGTTTGTATGAGATATTTAAGGGGCACACTAAATCCTCATCAGAAAACTACTGATGCTTTTAAGCGCCCATGGGGATTTGACCTGCTCAAAAGTGTTTTAAGGGCAGATAAAGGCCCACTCTTATGAACCAACCATGTTCCTTTCTGTCCTTAGAACAATTTTGACTCCATAAAAATCACCATGAGGTTTATTAAGCATATCTTTGACTCTAACTTTGGTAGAATAAACAAAATGATGCTTATTTGTATCACTTGTAAAAGTGGGAAATTGTTGTATTACTTTGTAGTTAATCATGAGACTAATAAATAAGATGCACTTTTTTCAAACTGTAGGTTTTTTTAACTTTATTTTACTTAGCTCTAATTTTAACATCATAAACTTTAAGCTACACCGTAAATTTCCACAAATCCAAAGATTATAAGGGAGAAAACACTTTTCTTAGTTGGGCTGGGTTTTCAATGCTGTTGACTGCAAGAGTTCTTAAAAGCAGAGTCAGGTCACATTACGTCCCCGCCTACAAAAGGTTTCCTCCAATCGCTCCCTTGCCGTCAAAGCATAAATCCAGGCATCGTCTCTCGTGTCTGTAGACTCTTCAGCACCCCTGTAAGAGAGGATCTGTTTGTCACATTTCTCTTAAAAGTTGCAGCTTTAAAGTTAAGCATTACTTACAATTTGACTTCTTGTCTGCGAAATAGTGAAAAGCCGAGGGAAAGTCAAAAATCTTTATTTTTGGCTTGTTTGTTTGTTTGCTTGTTTGTTTTTCTTAACTTTTTAAAGGATTCCAGTTTGCCAGTACAAGCTGTGCGCCCTCACTGGCTGTCACTGCAGTCTTTGGGCACAGCACTTGGATTTAGAAAGGATTTTTACTCTCTCCTAATTTTTTCTCTTTTTTAATTGCAAAAAGCTGTTGTTCAATTTTTTCGCATGAATCTCCTCGACCCTTACCTGAAGATGACAGAAGAACAGGAGAAGTGTCACTCTGACGCTCCCAGTCCCAGTATGTCTGAGGACTCCGCAGGCTCGCCGTGCCCGTCCGGGTCCGGTTCGGATACCGAGAACACCCGACCGTCAGACAACCACCTCCTCAGGGGTCCGGACTACAAGAAGGAGGGCGAAGAAGAAAAGTTCCCCGTGTGTATCAGAGATGCAGTGTCCCAGGTATTGAAAGGCTACGACTGGACGTTGGTGCCCATGCCGGTGCGCGTCAACGGCTCAACTAAAAACAAACCTCATGTCAAAAGACCCATGAACGCCTTCATGGTGTGGGCTCAGGCTGCACGGAGGAAGCTGGCTGATCAATACCCACATCTGCACAACGCGGAACTCAGCAAAACACTGGGCAAACTTTGGAGGTAGGTTCGCTTTGCACTTTTAATTAATCAGTTTTGCGGTGCGCTTTAACGCGCTGCTTGGCACAGAAACGCACCACCTGCCTGCTGCTTCAAGTAGAGCTTCACTGTGTGCTGAACGGAATAATTATTTTCAAACCAGACGTTTCTCTAATAGAGGTTTTATTTAGAATTGAGTGTAGGCTTACACTTGCTTTTGCACTTTGCACAGACAGAGAATATTTAGTTTCGTCCTTCATATTATTGACGTTAAAACAATTAATGCATAGTAAATTTCTCATGTCTTGTACTAATTAATCAGCTGTTTCATGTGCTCCTCATTGATCGGATGCATTTTAATATTAATGAACACTTTTCTGTGATACTTTCAGATTGCTCAATGAAGTAGAAAAGCGTCCGTTTGTGGAAGAAGCAGAGCGTTTGAGAGTGCAGCATAAGAAGGATCACCCCGACTACAAATATCAGCCAAGGCGGAGAAAATCTGTCAAGAGCGGGCAAAACGAGCCGGAGGACAGCGAGCAAACTCACATCTCTCCAAATGCGATCTTCAAGGCGCTACAGCAGGCCGACTCTCCGGCGTCCAGTATGGGCGAGGTGCACTCTCCAGTCGACCATTCAGGTAGGAGGAGAAAACAGAAAGAAAGTAAAGTAAAGTGCATTTTTTTAACAAGTGACTAAATGTGGCACTGTTTGTGGAAAAACAAATCTTGAAGGGCTGTAGCTCCTTCTGCAACCACCTGTTAATGATTAATTCTGAATGATTAATGGGTTTTACAAGCCATTATGCAAATACACCTGTCAGTACTGTGCCGATAAAGTCTCCTGAAAGCATTTAAATTTATACTGGTGCTTCACCTTAGCACAAGTTAGGTTAGATAGCCTATATATTCATGCAGCATTTTGTAGATTTATTTTAACCATAAGGCTCTGCCTTTCCTCTAACCAGGTCAGTCCCAGGGTCCGCCAACACCCCCAACCACCCCCAAAACAGACCTCTCCTCCAGCAAAGCTGATCTGAAGCGTGAGGGACGCCCCATGCAGGAGGGCACCAGTCGCCAGCTTAACATTGACTTCGGAGCTGTGGATATTGGTGAGCTGAGCAGCGATGTCATCTCCAACATGGGGAGCTTTGATGTGGATGAGTTTGATCAGTACCTGCCACCTCACAGCCATGCTGGGGTGACTGGCACAGTTCAGACAGGCTATACCAACAGCTACAACATCAGCAGCCCTTCAGTCGTCCAGGCAGCCAATGCTGGAGCCCACACCTGGATGTCCAAGCAGCAGCAGCAGCAGCAGCAGCAGCACTCTCTGACCACCCTGGGTGGAGGAGGAGAGCAAGGCCAGCAGGGTCAACAGAGAACCGCCCAGATCAAGACAGAACAGCTAAGTCCCAGCCACTTCAGCGAACAACAGGGCTCCCCCCAGCATGTCACCTATGGGTCCTTCAACCTGCAGCACTACAGCACCTCCTCTTACCCCTCCATCACAAGAGCACAGTATGACTACTCAGACCACCAAGGTGGTGCCAACTCCTACTACAGCCATGCAGCTGGCCAAGGCTCCGGCCTCTATTCAACCTTCAGCTACATGAACCCAAACCAGAGGCCAATGTACACCCCAATCGCCGACACCACCGGAGTGCCCTCTGTGCCCCAGACCCACAGTCCACAGCACTGGGAACAGCAGCCCATTTACACACAGCTGTCCAGGCCATGAAGAGGCAGGCTCAGCGCTGACTGTACAACACCCACCCTATTCATAAACTTCTTTCTGCCAGCTGGGTTTTACCCCACCGTGCCATACACCCTCCGTTGCCAGCAGAAAAAACATGACAAAAGACTTTTTTATAGTACTGAAAATATATCTCTGGATTGGCTCACAACAGTGCCTTTTGTATTTGTTGGAATTGTGATTATATTTTTTTAGATATGGTTTTAAAAAATCCTCTGTGAGGACATACTGGTTAAATATTTTAGTATGTACTGTGTATGTGTTCTGCTCTTGTCATCATCATTATAATCAGTGTCATCGGTATC